ACTGCACAGTATAAAATAAGGAGCTATGGCGGTGCAGGAGTTAACACTCTTGGCTGCTAACTGAAAGGCTACAACTCTACCAGTGGCTCCATGGGGGAAAGATGTGGCAATGTGCTTTGGTAAGATTATTGTTGTTAAGTGTCTTTGAGTCAATGCTGACTCATAGCGACCTTGTGTAGGGTTTCCAAGGAGTGGCTGGTAGATCTGAATCTCTGATTTTGCAGCTAGCAATCCAGTGCTTTCTTACAGGGCCACTGCCTTGAAAACCCTATGAGGCAGTTCTACTGTTTCCTGTAGGGTCACTACGGGCCAAAATTGACTCCATGGAAAACACCACACAGTATAAAATTACTTCACCCAAAACAATTTGGCCTTTTTATTCTATTCCCTCAGTCCCACCTGGACTGACCTTTTTTTCTGGATTGGTTGTGGAACTCTGCCCAGGACCTGACCTTTAGGAAAATTGGCAGCAGTGTACATCTAGTGACCAATAAAACTGTAGAACCAAAGAGTCAGATGGGACTTTCTGTTCCAAAAAAACCAGGAAGGGAGTGTGCCATTTAAACATAAGGAAGGACCCTGTACTGAGAAAGTCCCAAGCCTGTTAAATCGACAATGACAATGAAGACAGCAGCTATGATGCTATCAGAAGAGATGGAGACAACAGAATATAATGTCTGAATCTGAGCTGAGAGCTCTAACACTGAGAGCTGGTGCATCCGGAGCATGGGACCACCTGTGGAGCAAGAGTCATCCTGCTGGAACCTGCCAAGAGGAGCCAGGAGTCTGCTAACAAGAGAGATCAGTAGCAGAGGCCACCAAGTTATGTCTGCTATGGGTTTTGCTACTATTGAGTTTCCTGAGTTTCCCTCATAGTGGAATGAGAATGAACTTTTGTTCAATGGAAGGGCAAGCAGGTCTGCTTTAAGATGTTCAGATCCCATGCTAAAATGCTTCCCAAACCTCTCTCTGCATATGTTTGTTTCTGTTTATATCCTTCTTGGTTACATCCAAGTTCTTATTGAAGATATGGTGTTACTATGAAATTTCTGCGATTGCTGTTATAAATTATCAAGCCCATAAAGCAGGGGTGGGAAA